GGTATTTTTCTTTTTTATTAACCTCAAGTTAATATTTTGCTCAATTTAACCAAATATCCGCCTAGACAAGTGTGAATAACATGTTTAAACATTTATGTAAACGTCTGAAAACTTAAACTTTTATTATTCTCCTTTTTATACCCTCCTCTTCTCCCCATAACTCCACCCTTACATATGCCATCCTTAACCCTCACACCTCGGCCCCAAAATTAGTTCTCCATAACCCTCCTATCTCGCCTCCTAAATCAGCCCCCTGAACCCTCCCACCTTGCCCCCTAAATCAGCCCTCCTGAACCCTCCCACCTTGCCCCCTAAATCAGCACTCATGAATCATCCCATCTTGGCCCTAAATCAGCCATAATGAAACCTCCCACCTTTCCCCCAAATCAGTCTCTTGAATTCTCCCACCTTTCCCACTAAATCAAATAAGCCCTCATGAATCATCCCACCTTTCCCCCAAATCAGCCCTCTTGAATTCTCCAACCTTTCTCCCCTAAATCAAATCAGNCCACCTTGCACCTAAATCAGCCCTCTCGAACCCTGCCAGTTTGCCTCCTAAATCAGCCCTTCTGAGCCCTCCCATTTTGCCTCCTGAATCAGCCCTCTCTAACCCTTCCTGCCGGATGACCTCCTGGGTTGAATCGACCATGAAGAAATTACGTTTAAAGGTTTGTTTCCGTTTTTCTCCAAGGTTGCTGTGGACTAGAGAATAAAATTTAGCCAGAACAATTTTAACTTTTAATGATATAGATAAAAATTCCGATCCGTTGCTAAATACCCTTAAATATAGTTATTTTTCTAAACACAACACAGTTCTTTCTAGGGACAGTAAAACTGTTTTTTGTTCACTTGAAAAAAACACATCAAATCTGTACACTGAACAATGTAAATATACATAATTCTAAGTACAAGTCTATTTGGATCTTCTTCAAAAATGTATTTTATATCAATAAAAGTTCGGTGACAATATGTGGATTAAACAATATTTTCAATTTTAATCTTGTTTCCGAAACAGTACTTTGTACGCAATAGCATACAGAATATATTTTTAGGTTTGTTTTGGACCAAGAACAAAAAATTTAGGAATGTATATGATCAATTGAGATCTAAAAATATTTTTATATATAACAAGAAAAGTTTTGTGATTATATGTTATATGGAAATACATGTACTGAACATTATTTAAATCTATCACGTCTTCTTTTTAACCCTGAGAACTGTAGACGGAATTGTGGTAAAAAAACAGTTGGTTATTTCAGATTTATTTTCAAAGTCAATAAATGTTAAAATAGCGCTATAAACTTAATATATTTTATAGTGTTTTCAGCTGCCTGCCAACAATATAGGGTAAGAAAAGATATAAGTCAGCATTAATGTTGTGATTTAGTCCACAAATATAAAGTTAACATCATAGACTAAGCTGTTTAAAAAAAAGTCTATTCACCGAAAAATGTAAGGCAGCTTTCACAGGGCCCCGAAGCATAAATGACAAAAAATTATAATATTTTTTGTCATGTCCTAGTATTTAAGGAATTATCGGTAAAACTCAAAATAAAGTACACGTATGAATATAAATATGTTCACATTAAGTTTAAATATTTAAACAATCAAATATTTAATATAATCTGTTTAAGGGACATAAAAAGAGAGATCCTATAAGTGTATACATTGTTATTTTCCTAGGACGGATGAAGAGAGGGGAGTAAGGTATTGAACCCTGGTTTCCGGTTTATGTATTGTCTACCTTCATACTTTAAACCAATATCCTCTACATTAAATCCTTCCATCCTGACATCCTTCTCCATACTCTCCCTGCACATCTACTCATCCCTTCTCCGTACTATCCCTAGACCTCTACTCATCCCTACTCCGTACTCTCCCTAGACCTCTACTAATAACCTTATCTATACTCATCCTGGACCTCAATTCATAACTCAGAACATAAACTTAAACTATTTACAAAATCGTTACTCCACTTAAACTCTTATTTTCAAATCCATAAATTTTATTACATGATGGTGTAAACCTTTGATATTTCAAAATTTGACGGTTTGATCTATTAGAATTCATAATTTGAATTATTAACGTTTAAGAAATTTGATTGCAAAAGTATAAGGACTAGAAAATTAGTTTTTAAGTTCCTTCTTATATGCTCCAGTTTATGTAATGCCAAAGAAACTTATTTTGTTTACATTTTAACCACAGGTTGCCGTACACAAATGATTTTTAATGTAGAAAACATTTAGCAAACACTTGGTATATTTCCTCCTTTCATTCACTATTTGATCGATTTTCTAGAGTTTTAGGTCTTATTAGTTATTTTGTCCATGCTTGAATTATGAAATCTTTAAAAATGAAAACGTCTATCTATAGCCAGTGCCCCCTACAGTTCTATATCCAGTACTTTATCATCCTGACATTATGATCAATCCTTCTAATCTTGTTAATTCCATAAATATCTTTCTCATCTATTACCAGCACAGTGTGAACTCCACAATATTATGTTAATAAACGTATAAATATAAAAATTGGAAATATGAGGATCAGTATAGTTCATCATGGTAAAATATCTGCATTGAGAATAGACTAAACATATCAATATCAGATTTGATATTATGAATCACCAAAAACAGACTCAAACTTTAATCATTAAAACTGACTCACCTGTTATTTCGAATAATCACTGTGCAATCTAAATCTGATCACTCTTGAACTAGAAAAATAGAGACTCACTTAATTTCTATTTGAAAAGCTTAATTTGGTAAGGTTGTAAACAGGTAGAGGATGTATGAATATTAACTACAACCCTGAGCTAGACGCATAGACACTACGTAGTCCCGTCCTGGGTTCGGAGAACTAACGACTGAACTGAAGAGACAGAGTCGGGAGAGGAACCTAGGGATACCTGCCGGCTTTACACCGCTCTACGGAGTAAACAGATATTTGTCTATCTATCTATCTAATACTATTAACGTAGTAACTAGTTTTATGTAAGTCATGCCGAATTTCCAAGAAAAGACGAAATTCATGTTTTAAACAAATTGTCCTAAGAGAAGGAGAAAAGAGAAGGTTTAGGTTTAATGAAAACTATGATAATGGTTTCATAGTATTCTGTAGTAATACACCACCACCGGTCCTATTTGTAAGTTGTAACCCCCTTCACCTGCCCTCACCCACCCCGCCCCCTTACTTAATCTTTCACCAAATTTTTATCTCAAACTTACTCTTTCACCAAATTTTTATCTCAAACTTAATCTTTCACAAAATTTTTATCTTGAACTTAATCTTTCACCAAACTTTTAACTCAGACATAATCTTTCACAAAATTTCTATCTCAAACCTTATCTTTCACCAAATTTTTATCACAAACTTAATCTTTCACAAAATTTTTATCTCAACCTTAATCTTTCACCAAATTTTCATTTCAAATCTAATCTTTCACAAAATTTTTATCCCAAACTTAATCTTTCATCAAATTTTTCTCTCAAACTTAATCTTTCACCAAACTTTCATCTCAACTTAATCTTTCACAAAATTTTTAACTCAAAATTAATCTTTCGTCAAATTTTCATCTCAACTTAATCTTTCACAAAATTTTTAACTCAAAATTAATCTTTTGTCAAATTTTTATCTCAAACTTAATCTTTCACAAAATTTTTATGTCAAACTTAATCTTTCACCAAATTTTTATCTCAACCTAATTTCTTCAAAATTTTACCTCAACTAAATCTCTCACAAAATTTTAAACTCAAACTTAATCTTTCTCCAATTTTTACTTTTCCTTAATCTTTCACTTAATTGTAATTTCAACTTAATTTTTCACCAAATTTTTGACTCAACTCATTCTTTTACAAAAATTTTATCTGAACTTAATATATCCAAAAAATTAATCTTTTTTAAAATTTAAAAAATTTAATCTCAACTTAATCTATCATTGAATGTTTATCTTAACTTAATATTTCTCCCAATTAACTCAAATTTAATGTATCACAAATTTTTTTTCTCAAATTTCATCTTTGTCCAAATTTTTATCTCATTTAATCTTTCACCAAATTTTTAACTCAGCATAATTTTTCACAAAATTTTTATCTCAACTAATTTCTCCAAAATTTTATCTCAACTAATTTTTCCAAAATTTTATCTCAACTTAATCTTTGGCTTAATTATTATCTCAACTTAATCTTTCACCAAACTTTTATCTCAACTTAATCTTTCACCAATTTGTATCTAAATTTCACAAAAGGAACTGAGTGTTTGCCACAAACTCTGATTTTCTTATTCCTAAATCGTTGCAATCCAACGTTGTTTACCTTTGATATTTTAAACTATGAACTATGTTAGACCAAATAATCTAAGTTTGAAATATCAAAGGTTTACACCATCAGGATACAAAGCTATAGAGATTATAAAATTAAGTTTGTGGCAAAAAGTCAGTTCCTTTATATCTGAACTTAATATTTAAATAAAAATTATTTAAACTTTATCTTTCACTGATTTTTTTTTATCTCGGCTTATTCTTTCAACAAAATTTTAATTTAAACTTAATCTTCACCGAAGTTTTATCTCAACTTAATATTTCACTAGATTTTTATCCCATCCTAATTTTTTCAATATCTATATCTTTGCAACCTGGTGGTGTAAACCTTTGATATTTCAAACTTAGATTATTTGAAATAACAGAATTCAAAATCTAAGGTTTACGACATTGGGTTGCAAAGATATATGTATTAAAATATCAGAGCTTGTGGTAAAGACTCAATTTCTCTACATTATTTTACTAGTTTTTGTCCTTGAATAGACTTTTAAAGAAATTTGAATGTGTAAGCCTTAATTCGTAACTTCGTCGTAACTTAATCTTTTACTATATTTTAATAAAAAAAAATGTTCATACTTTATATCATTTAAAATCTGAACCTCTGTATAAATAGAAATATTTAAAAAAGCATTTTTTACAAGAAATAGTCATGTCTTTGAAATAGTTTCTCGTCAAAGCTTTTTAATTAAGTAGATAAAATTTATTTTTGAAACCTTGTATTGGTATAAACTATCCACATCATCTCGAGGGTTCTGCTCCCGGCTGGTTTGTTAGAAACATGACAAGATGATGATGTTTAGGATTACTGAGGTTTTATTCTCTCGTTCCTGGTCGTTATCATGAACATAGATTAGAGAGGGTCTAATCAACTTAAACCAGTGATAACCAGATAACTGTAGAGTAGGAAGACGACATCTAGGCCATACTAAAGTGTAATGATAATGTTACAAAGCAAATAGCTGTGCTAGTAAGCTTTTAAATCACTTATAAAGTGAAATGGGTCTGTTTACACTGCAGAATTGCATGCTGTGCCTCATGTTCATTGGACTTTTTAAAGCCTAGAGAAAACTAGGCTAAAACTGCACCAGCCCATGGTTTGATTTCGGAGAAGGGTTTGGGGTGTTTTTCTCCAGGTTCTAGGAAATGATGGGTTACAGGAAGAAAATGGCTTGGTTTGAACTTATTTACGGAACTTATTTGTTACGTTGCAGGTGCTTGCTGTTTGCATGGGGTATACTAGATCACGTAAATTGCACGTAAGATGCAAATTTCATATATTTCTAATTATATAACTAATGAGAAGAACAAAAATGTTCTAAATTTAAAATATGTAATCAGATTTTTTTCATAATTGTTCGTAACTCAAAACTAGAGGAGCTATTAGGACACAAAGTCGTACCAGTAAAGTCACTCAAATTTAACCTCTATAGTTTGCAGTGAGAAAGAGTACTCGTTTTAAGATTTAGTGCGAGGATAAAGAAATTTATTTGAAACAGATCCGTTTCTTAAATATCTACCACAAAATAATATCAATAGCTGAAGGTTTATATATCTTCTTGTTTTCATTAATACAGTTGGATAATATATATTTATTAGTTGATTAGCTTTTATCATTTTCTAAAAATGATTTTGAAGAAGGCTCACTTCTCCTTCAGAACAAAATGACTTTAAGATAAAGATTAATGAGATATACGTACAAAGACAATATAACATTCATAGATATCACGGTGAACTAGAAGTCCTGGTTAAAAGTACAATAAATCTTAACTTTGGAACCAATTTTAACCTTTCAATTGTAGATTTTTCTTTTTTACTCTCACTTTAAACGTACATTTAATTATACAAGGTCGCTATTATTGACAGATTTTAAATTCTGACTGAAAATATTCTGATACAAACAGAATGCACGTTGTAGTTAGTTTTAATTGATATAGAAAAATAAAAAGAGAGATTCTGATAAATAGAAAAAATCCTTTTAACAAAAAAGGATTTTCGGGTTTTAGGGTGAAACTTTATTAATGAATACTTAACCTTATATATGTTGTAGTAAAATTGAATATTTTGAAATTTTAAACAAAATGAATATAGAAAACATTTAACTAACTCACAAATATTTAGAAAAAACTTCAAACATTTTAATTTATACTGACATTCCCCAAAATATATGTTAATGTAAATAAACTTATTTTGACGGACTCAGAGTTTGTTTATAAACTCACACAAACGCTTTTAAAATACAAAGATAAAGAAAATACACGAAATATACATTATTCTGCAAACCAAGCAAAGAGATAATATCAGATGGACCCTTATCTTGCTTCCGTCCTCCACCCTGTCCCCCCCCCCACACGGTGGGGTATTTTAGGGGTTCATGGGGGGGGGGGGGGTTTACTGTTTTGTCACAATACTCCTCTTAAAATGCATTTGTCTTGTGTTTTATGTTGAGAATGGACAAAATGAATATATTCTGATAATCTTTTCATTTACAAACATTGTATGAATTGTTGCTAGCATTGATTTTTAATGATTTCAATTTTTAATTTCTTTTCCCGTTCATAAATTTATCCTTGAATGGATCCTGTAATCCCGCAATTTATTTAGATGTCGTCTTTGTTACAGTGAGTTTTTCGGAAGAACAAACATATATTTTATGGTAAAAGCATTAGAAAGCACAGGGGTTTCGGTATAATCTAAATACAAAATATATGAATAGACTCTAACAACCATATAGAAAAGATTTAGGGGCTCCAGCAGCACCCCAAATCCTTTATTTAGTCCAGAGTAGCTTGTTGAAAAATCCTATTTTAAGAGTTTTCAATGAAATAACGGGTTCTCGGTCGAAATTCTTAACATTTAAATTTAAGACTTCTCTCAAAAAAAATTCATTAGAGTTGGGTTATTTGACATAAATAAGAGGTTTATGGAACAAAAATTTATTTTGGCTGACCCTCCCCT